CATACATACATACATATATATACAGTAAAGTATTACAACATTCATTACATTTTGAGTTTTTATACCAAATAAATAAAAGTAAATTGTGTCCTATGATTACCTTTAGTGAGTGCCACAGCTCCAAAATAATTAATATTCATAACTTTTCTGTCAATATCGATATCAGTTTCCCTGGCAACCCCCCTGTAGCTGATGCCTCCATTATTGATGAGCACATCTACTCTTCCATAGCATTCCAGCATCTCTATTGCTCTTGCGGGAAGGTCGTCGGTATCCTCTAAGTCTAGTGTTATCACAATTGGTATGTGAGTTTCGGTTTTCTGTTGGAGAATAAATTTTTGAAGATAGATCTAATACAATCAAAATTTGAATTTTTTAAATCTTTTCTAGTAGAATAGAATTAATAATAATAATTACAGTAAGATTCAAATACAAACCAATAATAATAATGATAAAAACAATAACACTAATAATAATATTAATAATAACAATATAATAATGATTATAAAAAAATAATAATTACCTAATGACCAAGGTTAATTAATCAAGTGCTTTGAATTAGATAATAAAAAAAATTATATTAATCAGTACAGTATGTAAGATTTATGTCTAGAGTAGTGAAGACATGTAATCGATAATACGGTTGATTGGTATAAGTATGCATGCCAGATGCATCTTATTAAAAAACTTTTTCTCTAGAAGGCCAAACAATAATAGATGCATATATCTGTAAATTAAACTGTTAGAATAACTATATATTTTATTTTGAAAATAGGAAAACAAAGATTACACACCAACTGCAAACACATTAACTGTTCCTTAACTCTCTCCAATTCCTGCTTCCGTCTGGAACACAGAATCACCTTGCAGCCGCAACGGTAGAAAGCGTGTGCACATGCTGTTGAGAAGAATTTTGTTTAATTTGCGGGTTACAAAGCGCATTTATCTCTGCAAACAGGCCATTATATAATTCAGCCAGTCATTGGATTAAAGGCCTATGGAAGACACAAACTCAAGCTCCCTGGGGGAAGTATTCCAAACGTTGCAGCAGATACGTCAGCACGTTTTGGCATTCAACCCTACCAGGTACCCACTTATACTCCAGGGGTGGAGAGAAGCAATGGAGATAAAGCGCCCTGCCCAAGGATACAAGTGAAAAGCACAGTAAGTGTTGAAACCCGGCCGCGACCTCGAGGTTGGGAAATCAAATCATTCCCACTCTGCCAAACCACTTCCACAATTAATATCCATTGGTGATCCAATAAATGTATTACCTTCACCAACCCCTGAGCTTGCACCAGTGATCACCACGACCTTGTCTCGGAGCTTGTTGATTTTCTTGCGTACCAGAAAACGCTTTAAAATCACTAGGAGACCTAATCCGCTCAAGGCTAAAACCGCTGTTGGAAAAATGTTAATTTCCACCATAGCTGATATCGATATTGATTGGTACCTGTAAAATAAACTTGAATTTTTATCAATGGTTCTCAAATTTCTAAAAGAATACTTACTAAAGACATAAAAAAAAAATAAATAGATATATTGATTAATAATGTGCACAATTTGAGCTGTTCGCTCATTTTGATTCAGGAATGTGTTTCAAATTTTCGAAGGATTCTTTCATCAATTGGGGCAACATGTGACATTTAAATTTATTTATTTAGTTATTTATGTTGGTATATTAACTTATTGATACAATGTTACTGTTCCATATTGGGGGAAATATGGAAACTGTAAAAAAAAAAAAAACAAAGAAAAAACTAATTTTTGTTTATGCAAGATATTATTTATATCCTGTTTAGTGAACCCCCGCCAACGGTGGTTTTGAATAAAAATAACATTTTATTTTTGGCCAATTACTGTAAAACCATAGAGGGTATAAAAAATTATGAAGTTAAAAAAAAAATCATTTGACACTGCTATTATAAGACTTGAAATAGTGGTTTTGGTTAGGTAGGGTGATGTGTAGAGTTCTATGGAACGTGACCCTGAAGATGTCTATGCATTTTTCAATTTGTCAACCTTGCATAATGAGGGCAAAAATGTTTTACTTTAACCTAGCTGCAGCTAGTCTTAAGTGCTTTAGAAAACACAAATTGCGTAAACATAAAAGTGTAATAACCCGATAGTAAGTTAAGTCACTACTTAAGATGCACCTTTTTAATAATCTTTTTTTTTTTTTAGAATGGCACCATGAGCAATGACTGTTGGAATGGTGCCATATAAATTGAACAATTGATTGATTGATTTATTGATTGAATAATATTAAAAAATGTGGAATGATGTCAAATTTTAATACCGGTATGCACAGTTTTTGAACGGTCTATGCTTGAGCAAGTTTGAAAAAGATCCAAGCACAGGAAATGACAAAGTGCAAGACAGAAAACCGTGCAAAGAACAGGAAAAAAAAAATGAGAATAAACAGTGACTTTCTGCTAACACATGAAAACCCAACTATAACCGCAGAAATTAGCCTAGCCTCAGGGCAGGACAGGTCCTCAGGGCAGGACTAGCCTAGGACTAGGTTTGGATCTGGTCTACTGCTGCTAGTAATTAGTACTACCTAGTATATTAAGATACTAGTACTAGTAGTATCTTAATAGATTAGTATCAGTCCTCACTAGGCTAGGCCTACTCTCATTAAACCTAGGTAGGGAGTTTCTAATAATAATATTAAATTATTTTATTATATTTTACAGAGAACTCTAGCCTAGGCCTACTACTATGATACAAACCTACACATTATTACCACCACCGTGACTAGTAGTAGTAGTACTACGGTACCAGTGTCAGTGAGTGGCGGTATACCAATAATATGCAAATATGCTTTAAACATTGTCCTCGTTAATGCACAAACCTGGAATATCATTTTTCAAGTTAGTTAGGAATACTGTACTTCAAAGTCAACATTTTACCTGTTTTAACTGAACCGATATGAGCTCACTTTCTGAAGGTCGTCATACGTACATTTTTACGAGGGACGCAAATAATATGAGGGTAATCCCCGCAATAAAATATCCACTAGAGGGCGCTATTGCAATTATTAATTTTGAGCCACTTGAGTTACTAGAAATATGCTATTGAAATACTGGAACATCATTGGCTTATTCACGATAATGAAATGTTTTTCCGATAAACAGGGAGTTCAGTGAGTTGTAATATGCCAGCGTGGAAATGCAAAGATGGCAGCGAAAATGAACCTCGGAGAAGATGTTGTGAAATCACCCGAAATTTCAGACAAATCATCAGCCCCGAAGGCTCGAAAAGCTCTTTCAATGGAAGAGGGATTTAGAAAGGTAGTAATATAACATTTACATTATATCTTCCTATATTATAGGTTATGACTATTGCATTAACAAATGACTTTGATTGGGAGGGGTTTATCTTCACACAGAGGCTGAGCCCGTCCAGCCGGTTGCTATGCTAGCCTAGAGGCTACTTCTTTACCTATTATATAAGGAGGCCTAGGCTACCTACTAGCCTAGCCTAGCCCTGGCCTAGTAGTAGTAGGACTGAGGTAGGCCCTAGTCTAAGTAAAAGTAACATACCCCAGTTGCCTCATCATACTACTATCTTACTATTTTTTTTCTGTTTCATAACATTTTTTTGATAGTATAGGGCCTACTAGGGCCAGGCTAGGCCTAGTAAATTAGGGAAATTAGATTTAGAATAATTTAGGCCTAGGCCTACTACTACTAGTTAGGCTTAACTACAGTAATTTTGCCATTTTATTATTTTAATAATAATAATAATACAATTGTAGGCCTAGTAATATGTTTTGTTTCCCCTTCTGGAAGTTTGATATATAATTTTAATAATTTGGATAGGAAAAAATAATAAAACAAATTATAGTATTAAATATTAATATCAATGTTATTTCAATAATGATTTTAATAATATATAATATAATATTATTACAATACCAAAAACAACAACAATTAATAGAGGGATTAAGCGATGATTAATTACAGGCTGTCACGTTACCTAACTCTTTCAAAAATAGGTGCACATAGTCTTAATTCATTAAATAATACATTAGTTAGATATATTGGGACATTTTGCATGAAAATCAGTTTCGGTTTTGAATTTCTAGGCCTAAGTTTTTACACGGCGGTATATTCCCCCTACCCCACAGACCTTATTTTTTTAACATTTTTCTTGCATTTTACAGCTAAACAAAGTTCTTAGTATGGTGAATAGAAACATATACACAAAAAATAGAAACATAAAAATAATAGGCTACAATTACACATTGTATTATAAGACCAATCATGTTATATGCAAGCACATAAATTAATAATAGTTTCAGTGTAGTTTGAGAGGTATGTATGTGTTTAAAGACAGGATGCCAATCTCAAAGATCATCCAGCTTAACTGGTATTCACTTGAAGAGCAAAGGAAACTTGCCCGACTTGAATTATTCCATAGGGCAATAAACAATAGATCACACAACCCAACAAATACAGCAAAGATGATCAAGACATGGACATGATAAAATGTACTCAGACCATCAGAACATTACAATTGTATGTATGTTTCTTTATCTCAAGAATTGCAGATTGGAAAACAAACTTTCTATAAAAACAGATGAGAAAATAAGTTTTTCAGAAATAGAAGAAAAATAAACAAACACAAATATTACAACACAATGCATTAATACATTATCAATATTTATAAATTAATTTAAATAATGTTACCAAAGTTTTCCATTCCAAAGTGTGAATATGGATAATGATAATAATAATAATTGTGAACTTATGTAGTGCATAATGAAAAATACATCTATGCGCTTTACAGCAGGGAGTGGGATTCACCTAATTAAACAAAATTAGTGATCATCAAATGTAAATATTGATTTACATAATATGATACTGCGCATATTACATGAGCTAACATATTAAAAATATTCAGTTTCAAATCCTTAGGTTTCTTGAATTGTTCATATGTCATAATATCATTTATACTGTACATTGCCATTCTAAATTGACCGGGTTTTTTTTTTTGGTGTGGGGGGTGTAAGAATTTGGGTTGGATTCTTATTGGATTATTATAATTATATGTGTGGGGTGTGTCTGAGTATTTGTCGGTTTTAAGCTTTTTTATGTTTGTATTGGAAGTAGCAGTTGGAGAGGCACACCCTTCAGTGATAGTAGTTTTTACCGCTTTTGCCTCTCCGCAGCTCGCTTCTTTCATTTTGTATATTTTAATGTTTGTACTGCAGGAAGGAATAAAGTATATAAATAAAAATGTAAGAATAGTAGTTTACATACAATGTCATTGAATTTGTAAGAGATGTTTACAATCAATATTATTTTTGTCAATTGATATTTATTGTTGTTTTAACTTTTTTCAACCAACCTATTTTTTGTCAATTTTACTTTCATTGTGTATAGATGTTCTTTGAACCTGGTCTAAAACAGCTTTCAGAGCAGATGGACGAATCGTTAAAAGAAATTGAAGAATATAACAAGTAAGCAACTGAATTAGATGCCTCAAACACATTCATTTTTAACAGAGTTGCTTTTTAGCTTGAATTATAGCATGGAGGAATAAATTAGCATATTGTTCCTTCGTGATTTATGTGTATTTGAATAAACAGTACAGACTTCCTCAATTAATACTAATGCTCAGAACTGAATTAATCTTGTTAACCCCAGATTGTTTCTTCATACTATAAACTGCAGGGTAAATCCAACTGATTGTAACATGCTAATTGCATTGCACATTTGAAATTGATAATTAAAAATGTATGAAGATAATGAAAAGAAATTGGGAAAAAAGTAAAATTATGTTCAAATTTTAAGTCTGAAGTTGCCATTTCAAGCCATCTAATGGTACCATAATCATAAATTTTCTTAGAGTGGTATAGACTCTCCATTTGTCAAAGTCCCTCCCTGGAACCTCTATTTAAAATTCCTGGATCCGCCACTGGCATTATTCACTGAATTGTAAAAACTGAATATCTAAGTACAAAACATATTTTATATGTATAATTATTAATTAACAAGGTTTTAAATAAGGGTGGATGAAACAAATCTCCCAAATAGTGCAGTTATTGCTATGCGCTTACCACATCTCTTTCTGGTACTGTATGTGCTAAAGCAAACTCGAAATCGAAAATTCTTGGTATATGAAAAATATGCTATATATAGGTATGTGTCTGTAGGCCCTCTATCAGGCGTCCACCAGTTGTCTTACAGTACACTCCTACCTTGCCTTTCCAGGGAATTGGATAGAGAACGGGAGGAGAAATGGAAGAAACGTATACGAGAAATACGTAATCTTCCTCGTGAGATTGAAGCCAGGTAAAGAGAGTGAGCCCTCTATAGTATAAGTGATGATTAACAAGCTTTGAAGTTTGTGTGGCTTTGTACTAAACAGTATGTCTTAAGTGTGGTCTGGTTATTCTACATTTTTCAAGTGACAACACATTCATCTAATGATGAAAAATATCTCTGCATTGTGTTTATAGACTGCAAATTTCATCATACAAATGTATCTCATCCATGTATTTGTACAGCAGTTATCATAATTTTGTTTTCTGGGGCTTTGTCTCAATAGCACTTGAACACAGTAGATTCACCCTATAGAAAGTCACTAATTGTGCAGAATTGACCACAATATAATGACAATATTGATTTATATTGTGTCTCTTTAAACTTAACATTGCATTACAGTCTATATTGATTCTTGCAAGTCAAAATTGAGGCTTGTTATTTTTTACAATCTGTTATTTCGAATAACTTGGTTTTTAACACTAATCTAATGTCATTGCTTTCTATTTTGTGCACATATTACACCCAGCTTGATGTAGCTACAAAGAAAGAAAATGATAAGCTCTAAGCTAGACATACAGTAGTTGGTCGTAGACAATTGTTGAATCAGTATATCATGCCCTTGAAAGCAAGGTTCTGGAGGAAAACAAATGATATGTTGTACAAATGAATGTTCTAAAATATTGAAGGGATGTTTGAAGAGATAATTTGGAAAATTTTTAATATTCAAAAATTGGTTTGTACAGCATATCAGAGCTTCCTCCAGAGCACATACTTAAAATGTTATGTTACTTTAAATACTCGATTCGAGGTAATTAGAAAACTTTGTCTTGCTAGGACACAAGCAAGAATAGCATTAGTAGATATCAGTCCATCGTGTAGCAAAGTCCAATTTGTTACCAACAGCAATGTTAGAATTTAAACTTGTGATTTTGTTAATTTCATTCTTAATTCCATGTTTCTTCTAACATCACCACTACAGTAGTGTTTTTATATTGTAAAATATGTTGTTTTTTTTTCGCCATTACATGTAGTACTTCTGTGTGTTACCTGTGATAAAATGTGGAAAATACTTCTTTTAATTGAAATATTTATTTTCACAGAAAAATATTTGCGAATATTGAAACAATTCGTTTTTCACTGATTTGCCTTTGCAAAACTTAAAGTTAATTCCCATTTTAAAAAATTACTCTTTAAAATTTAGCCACAATTCCTCTTTATTATTTACCCACAATTCCGCTTTAATAATTACCCATGATTCTTGTTGAATGAATTGTGCAGTATTCTTGTATTAATATTTTTTTTCCTCTTTCAGTGGCCAGAAGATTGAAGATATAGTGAAGAAACTACAAGACTTGATCTTGTTTGGAGATGGTACATCAAAGAAAGAAGTGTAAGGATTAAATTGAATTGACATTGAGGCTATGATGATGATAATTATGATTGTGATAATAGCAATAATGGTGGTGGTGGTGGTGGGGATGATAATGGTGGAGATCGCTCGGTCCTTGGTATGCAAGTTACGATAGCGCACCATCTTTCACTCATGTGCATGTTAAAGAACGTGGTACACTCTTCGGAAAGGAGTAGGGGATTGTCTCCCAGTGTACTGCCCAATCACCGCCAGAAGTACCTACTAGAAATAAGACACTTGTGGGTTATTCTAGGTGTTTACACCAAATGAATCCATTCATCCATTCATCCATCTATCCATTTTAAATTTATCTGATTTGTCTCTTCAGTGTTGCCCAGCCTAGTGAATTGGAGGATGCTGCCCACATCGCCATGCTGGGACAAACCCTAGCCGCCTACATGGCTACACTGGACCCACCACACCTCAAGAAACTATCAACAAGAATTGTCTCTGATGTTACACTCTGGCTTTCACGAATATTTAGGTATAGTAGGACTCATCACTATCAATTGTTTATCAGACTCAAAAATGTTTGATTAGACAATGTGTGGTCAGATTTTGACCCAACATTTGTTTGTTTTTATCACTTGAAACAAGCATACTACCTTACAATACAAAGTCAAATAAAAATGTTATTTATCCCTAAGTTGCTATAATAATGTGTTATTTTATATTTCATTCATTTTTGGCAGACTATCAAATGTGCTATAGCTTTGTGATTAGGATACTCCTCTACTACTAAGATCCTGGGTTCACATCCAGATTTTTTCATGGCTAACCACCACTCCACTCTCAAATCCTCACAACAAATTTTATCACATCTTATCTAACACATACCAGCATGAGAAAACAAACACTGACTGTAGTATTATTGATGGTGATGACAATGACAGTTTCATTTTGTAATTGTTGATGTGTGTGGTTGGTGTTTTTGTATGTGGAAGAATGGCCGTGCCTTAAAAGAAGTTTCAATATTTTTTTTCATTTTAAAGATTTGATGACTCTTCGGCATTCTACCACGCTGATGACCGTGATGGTCTTGTACGTGTTTGTCGTTTGGCTCTGAGCAGCAAGTACGAGAAGTATGGCACTGAAGGCTTCAATTCACTGTACACTAAACCCCCAGTGATCTACATCAGTGCAGCTAGTCGGACAGGCCTTGGCCAGTACCTGTGTACTCAGGTTCGCTTTATATTTCTCCGAACTATTTACATAAATCATATTTCTTGTTTCTTTTCAATTTATATGAACTAGAAATATAAACCTTGACAATGATAATATCGGCGCTGGTTCGAACGGCACGCTCGCCTTTGGTTCTGGTGGTAGAACAAGTCTTCTCGGATAAGGAATATAAACCGTAGGCCCAGTGTATACAATGGCTCATGTGCACTATAAACAACCCAGTACATCCTTCGAGACGAGTAGGGGGATACCCCGGTGTATTGGAACAGACAGCCCCTGTGGTGGACGACGAGAGTGGCTGGTACCAGGTTACCGGGTAGCACAGACACGAAGGGACCCTTAGGGGCGAAGAAAGTCATTGATCGAGTTCCTAGTCCACATATCAAGCCCCCTGAGCATCTTACATTAGATGGATATGTGCGCTATATAAAACTACACTATTATTATTATTATTATTATTATTATTATTATTATTATTATTATTATTATTATTATTGTGTCTGCCTATTTTCTTAATATTGGTGGTGGTGGGTTTTAGTGAGACACTAATGGTGATGTAGAGGTGATAGTGAATGGCAGTAAAGGTGATGAAGAATGGTGGTAGTGGTGATGATGAATGGCAGTAGTGGTGACGATCAATGGTGGTAGTGGTGATGATGAATGGTGGTAGTGGTGATGGTGAATCATAATAGTGGTGATGATGAATGGCAGTAGTGGTGTTGATGAATGGCAGTACAGGTAGTGGTATTGATGAATGGCAGTAGTGGTGATGATGAATGGTGGTAGTGTTGATGATGATGACATGATTCCATATCATAATGATATTCTGTACAACTGGTGTTTACTAATTCTGACTTTACCTATCTAAATGATAATAGGTTCTCTATTTTTTTTATTCAGCTTGGCTTACCACTGTCCAGTCTTTGCACAGTTCCTTGTAATACTGTGTTTGGATCAACCCATACTATGGTAAGTATGCAGACATTATATTCTTGCCTTCCAATATCTTTCTCATTATCCCCTACCATCTTGAAAACAACCTCTTCTTTTGTTTGAGTTCTCCAACTCTGGCTTAGGGAAATAGTCATCAAATTTTAATAATTTTTATTTCAATCTGAAAAATTTTTACTTTAGGAATTTATAATTATTTTATTTTAACTTACTTATGTTTATTTGGTTCCTGATAAGTTTTTGATTAGTGAATTTAGGTGTTAGATATTTATATTAGTAATTATTGTAGTACATTAGAGTTTTACTATTTATTTGTTGCTAGCCATCAAGCATTAATCTAACCTTCATATAATAATTTCCACTAGTGTATAATACTCAACTCTACTAATTGCTTATTTGTAACTAGTTTACAATGCCCTTTGTTATAATTAGTTACTTATAACTTGTTTCATTTTGCTTGATTTTATTTTGTTCCTTATTTGTAGGATATTGCATCATTAGAACGGCTTATCAAAGATGATGATGCAACTTCAAAGACACCTCTCCTTGTTGTTGCTAATGCTGGCACTCCAATGGCGGGGCACACTGACAACCTCTCACGATTACGTTCAATAAGTGATGAGTACGGTGTTTGGCTGCATGTAGAAGGGTAAGAACAGAGTTATTTTGTTATTAAGACAAACTTCTGCTTGCATTTGCCCTTCATCATGTCCTAAAAACACTTTCTCTGTCTATTTTGTGTTCTTTTTTTCCCACCTTTTTTCTCCTTATTTATTTGTTTATTATTGTGGAGTCAAATTGTTTTGCAATATTGTTTTTAATGGGAAGTCCGATTAAATTGGGCAGTTACTTTTACTTCCTGTGGGTTTGGAAGATCTGTGTTGAGGATGCAAGCATCCATAGTATCTGTAAAGAGAAACGCAGTAGGAGTAATTTTTAAATAGAGTAGAATTCTTATGATGCTTATAGGGGATGGAGCTCGTTTTATTAATTTGAAGGATTTAAATCTTTGACCCTGCATATTTATAATAGGAAACTAACACTTAAAAAGTAGAAATTATTAATTTTGCTAAGAGACATTTATATAATAATTATCCATCCTAATCACCATTTAAAAAACTACACATATTATTTTATATAGTATTTATAATAATAAATAATTGTATTGTTTGATTTACAGGCATAACTTGTCAACTTTGGCCCTTGATTCTGTGCCTACTTCAATTTTGGTAAGTTTTTACCGTAATATTGTGTGTGTGTGTGTTTTTCCCCTTCTTTGTTTAGCTTTCAGTCAGTGGCTCATATCTTGTTATAGTCTTTAATCGGTGGGAAACAAACAGTTTGTGCAACTATCAAATATATTGATATCATAAAAATGGCATTGTGTTTATCCTTTTTTTTATTATATAGGCTGCAAAGAAAGTCAACAGTATGACCCTTGAACCTGGGGTGTGGCTTGGTCTCCCCGGAACCCCTGCAGTAACGCTTTATAAAACCTCTGATCCATCGATGAGCTTGGCAGCAGAGCTATGTTTGTCTCAGGTGCATGAGCGCCTCTGTACTCTCCCTCTGTGGTTAGCTTTGCAGTATATCGGACAAGAAGGGATTGTCAACACCCTAAAAAATGCTGCTGAACTGGTAAGTATATTTAGTAGTCAAATAGCGTAAAAGCGTAGCTAAATTAAGGCTAACTCAGACAGCGTCGTACAATGCAACCCGACGTCTTAAATCATTATTTTTAACTATAATTTAAACAAATGCCAAACTTTTTAAAACTGGTACATCACTTAGGCCCTCCAACATCGCTTCGGAGGCCTCACTTTTTTCTGTACCATGATTGGCCGATGAGCAATTGTGTGCTTGTTAGACACACATATTCCAGGCCCTATTCTGATTGGTTGGTTATAAAGTTTAATTGTTGTGTGCCTGTATTCCAAGGTAGAACTAGTGGCATTGTCTGCTAGATGGACACCTGGATGGACAGGTGGTGTTGGGCTTATAGTAGCAATAGTAGGAAACAAGTATGGTATGTCTTTTTCCTTTCTATCAAATTTATTCTTATTTCCATTTGCTAAATTTCTTTTTTCTCAGAGTCAAATGATGCAGCAGAAGTTGAATCAATTTGGACCAATCAACCTTGCTGTAAGTTCTGAACTTGATACATTCAGATATATAATGATAATAATGTTTTATTTTCTCTTTTCAATTCTTACGTAGTTTTTAAGGCAGTGGCTATTGTTACACCAGTCTTAAAACAATTTTTAATTTTGATTGGATGTTATTGTAGGCCTATGCATGAAATTGATTTTGTCAATAACATCCAATCAGAATTAGGAATTCATTTTAAACTGGTGTAACTATAGGCATTGTGGTTTTTGTGTTCAGCTACTCTCTCTTTCATTCAGGAACGACCAAAGACAAAAGACAATGAGATTAAGCTGGAAGGTACAGTTTTAGACATAGTCAAGAATGTCATCGCGGTGCTTGTGAGTAAAACCAATAGAAAACTATAAACATCCATGCTTACATTGTTTGTACAATATTGAAGGGAGTCAGCCGTTAACACTGTTGAATAAATATAATATAAATCGTCAAAGGTACATATACATTGTTTAAATAAGGACAAGATGGAACATCGTAGGCTACCCTGTAGCTTTTCAAAGAATAAAGTCCTATAAAAGTCATTGTGTAATAAAATGTCTCCGACGGGATTCGAACCTGCGACCTCTCGCTGACAAGATGAGCGTCATAACCACTAGACCACGAAGGCTTCATAGTTGAACAGGTCCAAATAACTGTCGGGAACATTGTATTACACAATGCTACGCCTCAAGAGGGCGTTCGGCCAGATAAATCTGGCAATACGACCCTTATTATACGATCCTTATTTAAACACTGTATATGTACCTTTGATGATTTATATTATTTGTACAGTTTCTAGAATTGTTAAATTCTAGAAAAGTATTGATGTATATGGCAGTTATAAATAATTATATAATGTGGTACTTAAATATTGCATATTGCAATATACTTTACATTGTCATATATCAAGGTCTCATATTTTCATAGCAGTTCATAAAACTGAATTGTGAAAGAGATGTGTATAAACAGGACTTAAGTAAATTAAAAACACCACACTAGCAAAAGAATAATCTTCCAAATAATACCATTTTAAGAGTTTATCAAAATCTTATTTTCCCATATTAAAATTGCATTCATTCAAGTCCTACTACCATTTTAGTAGTTTCACTGCAGGAGTAAATTTGTGTGTTACGAACAATCTACAGAAAAGATGAACAAGTTTTTAAAAGTCCAACATTTGTATGTTGCGCGTATAAGATTACCCCTGTTTTTCGATCGTAACTTGCTATTTTAAGCCTCGCCTTATACACGAGTATACGGTACGTTATGTTTATAGTGAGTGTGTAAGCTGTCTCTTATACACATCTAGATGTGTATAAGAGACAGGAATGGAACAGATAAAACAGGATCAATCTAGATTTTAAATAACTCCTTTTAATTTGTTTAGGAATACAATAATGAACGCCAATAATTTTTTGCGGTTTTCTCAAATAATTTCATATTGTCTATCTATTGAATTGAATTAAATATTTATCTTGGTAGCTTGGTGAAACTATGAATAGATTAGTTCCCAAAGTGTACATCGAGGTCGTTTGTGGGGAAGTTGAAGGCGTGTGTCTCCGCTTCAGTCCAATGCAGTCAGCACCTTGTAAGTAAACAACTTCTGAATTTGATTAGTATAAGAGAATTCTCATGTTTCCAAATAATGCACACATTACCATCAAAATTTCCAGCAAGCATGGAGAAGGGCAATGGGAAGCCAATCATAGGTTGAAGAGAACAGCATGTTTTCCATTTTTATTGATGGATGAATAAATACCAAGATTACGTTAACATAAATCAGAGATAACATCTTTAATTTATCAGCTTAAAATAGGCAGTAAACTTGCTCCCAGAGTAGGTGAGCTAAGCCATTGACTAAAGGGTATTGTTACATGCTTCTTGTGCTGAAAATCTTGGTTGAAATCCGGTCAATGTCAGATTTTAATTGGAGTCTGACAGTTAGACGAGAAACAAAATATGCTACTACTGCTGTATTATGGCCGCTGCTGGTCAACAAGAACAAAGCTGCAATTTTCATTTCCAAATTTGGAATAATCACAATTGTTTTTAACAGATCACAAAACGAATGCAGATGACATCAATGAATTTGTGGAATGTCTTCAAAAGCAGATAGTAAGTAGACAGGAGATGATTCAAAACATTTTTTACTAAGTCTATCTGAAATGGTTTATTTGAAAGAATTATAATGTACACAAAATCTATAATTACATTAGAGAACATTTAATAAACTTAAAAATATAAATAAACTAAAAGAAATAGTACATATTCAAATGAATGTGTTAATAAATAATTAAGTATTTTTGAAAACATATATTTTCATATTTTGATAATTAATTATTACATTTTTAGGTTTTTTTTTTATTTTGGTTGTATAAACTGAATTATAATGATAAATTATTTGCATCTTTATTTTGACAGGAAATACTAAATTTCACACTGAAAGAAAAGGATTCTTTTAAGAAGTGTGTTGAAGCTGAAGAACTCTTGCTGTTTGTTGACTTACCATCCCAAGCAGGCTTGGGGGCTGTGCAGTAAGTTATAAGGGTATTAGAGTGGTACTACTCCAGGACATTAGGCTGCATGAGCCCTGGGCTCTCATTTCATCAAGCCTCTGGACTTTATGCTTCGTGAGCCTAAAGCTCCCTAGGCCATGGAATGTATAGTATGTGTCTCAGGCCACTTGAACTCTAGAATCTCTGAAATCTCAGGCCTGAAAGTATGTTAACCATGGGAATCTGTGGCCATGCAAATGTGGGTCTGAAGGTCTTTGGGCCATGGACAAATTTGTTCTTAAGCTCATTCGCAGCTTACGAACTGCAAGCTGGAAAACATAGTTTGCAATTCTTATTTTGTTTTTCCACTTTTGTTTTTTTTTTATATTACAAATTTGGATCTGTGATTTAAAAAAAAAACTGTTAGAAATTTAAATTAAGTCCTGTCCAGATTATCAAATTTTATTTAACAAAAACATGTGACATGCCTAAATATGGTAATGTTGACATCACATCTAGACTATATATAGGCATACCGCAGTTTGCTGTCAAATAGTGCAGACAGCTTTAATCTAAAAACAACAGTTGAACTGGAAGGTAACTTTCCAGATCCTCTCCCCTGAATCATAAACTTGTCCTGAATTTCTCTTGCACTACAGTATATATTATACAGTATTTAAAGTAGTAGTGTGTGAGGTATTAAACTGGTGGTGGCGCTAGATACATTATAAAGCTCTGTCAAGATTATCAAATGTTGTATGCCCATATATAGTCATGATGCATCATGACCATATTTAGCATGTCACATATTTTTGTCGAATACAAGCGTAGTGTTTTTATAGTGTAGACATTGTTTAAAACGGAAGTTAAAATCCTGTAAAAAAGGTATCTCTTGAAATCAGAACAACAGCTAATTTGGGATCTTTGCCTTCTAAAGCTGAGAGACCTGGGTTCAAATCCTGTAGACATAAGATTTTTTTTCTTATGACAAACACAAATAACTTCCAAAGCTACCTTCTAGTAAAAGGTTAAAATCACAAACCTGTAGAATTGATTGAAACTATCTGTTAACATACTCTACTTTATTAATCAAAATATTAAATATGTTTTAAGGCCTAATTATGATTTATTGCTGTTCGTTGGTTTGTATTAATGTTGCCCTCTGTTTTGCGATGTAATGTACCAACTGATTTTCTGAAAGGACACAAAAATATAAATCTTGTGTGAGTGTACTCTATCTATCTGTCTTCTGACAAGTACAGGCCTCTATGATGTGAGAATCATCCACTTCACAGGTGGGCTGCATGCGGCCCGTCAGCGATTTTTTTGTGGCCTGCGACAATGAATTAAAAACTATGTGTTTGCGGCCCACCAATCAAAATTGTCTTGAAAACACCTTGTTTTTTACGGTCCGACTCCAATCATATGTAAAAAGTAACATTGAAACTGAAAATAAAGTGATGTAAAAGCAGTGCTTGGCGGTTTTTGGAAGCTCACTGGAAACATCAAAGTTTGGGTGCAGCCCTTGGTGTTAAATCAAAAATTCACTTTGGCACTCCAACTGTACAGGCATGGACTAGCTTGTACAGTAACCTTCTTCTCCCCTAAGGGTCTCTTTATGTCTGAGCTACCTGTTAACTGGTACCAGCTACTCTGGTCTGTCCACTGCAGAAAGATGTACTGAATTCTTTATTGTGCATATGAGCCAATTGTACACTGGGCTTATGGTTTATAGTTATTATGACTGTATGTTGTGGCGCCCCTGCCTTGACCGCTCGGCCATTCAACTCGCTTTTGGATGTGAAAGAATTGATGCTAAATATGATTTGTTATTGCTCTTTTTCAGATACATTCCATCCTACATATCAGGACAATTACATGACAACAAGGAGCAAGCAGACAAGGAACTAACCAAGATCAACAGGGACCTCTTAGAACGCCTGCAAGCAGACGGTAAAGGTGTCACATATTCAGAGGGGGTGAATCCAGAGAATGAAACAGCCTGTTTGGTAGTAGGCATGGCTAGTGATGGAACAAGTATAGGGGACATTGTACAGCTGGTTGCAAATACAGGAAAGGAACTTGAAGACTCATCAAAGGTAGTAGATTTAAACAAATAGAAAACAATTTGCCACAAACCTGGAACAAAGGCTTAAAGCCAGGCTGCAGAGGAAAAAAAATCTTTAATATGTTGTAAAAACCTGGGAAATATAAATAAGATAGATTTTTGAACATTTAAAAACTGGTAAAAAATGCATATAACCACTTTTTTGTACACCTTTTCTTCCAGTTTTTATATATTTAAAAAATTGTATCTTATATTCCGTTCCCAATTTTTTTTTCGTAAATCACCCTTTTTGTGTCTTAAAAAATCAGTTGTACAATATACTGTATGCAGAGCTTGGCTTTTTGAGATAATATAAATGTGAAATTTAATAATTATGTTGGCAAGCTCAAAAACATCAAGATGATAATGATAATAATCACAGTAATTATGATTATGATGTTTAGAATGATGATTAACGTTGTTAATATTTTATATTATAGTTTTTGGAGGTCATGAAGGAAATGATCCAGAAGAAAATTGAAGAAGCCCAGGAAGAACTTCGAAAAGAAAATGAACAACGTCTCATTGAGGAGGTAAAGGAAAATACTGCTGTACGATTTGTTTTCATCATATTGCATGGCAGAGTTGGAAGAAGTGCGCAACCGCATGACTGACAGAGACATCATGAATGTGTCGGAGGCATTTTTGGAGAAAAAAAATGTTTTTTCTTTTTTTCAAACATTTTTTTTCTCCAGACCTGTTGCATGACATCAGATTACTGATTTATGACGCCACAGCTTGTGTTTGTATTATTTTGGCATAGTTGAATAAGAGACTTCAAATGCACACTCATATTGAGGATGTTTAATGGGCACAAACAGACCCAAGGAATCCAGATTTAGGAGGTGGTGTTTTTCCTGTCATAATTATATCCTTGCTGTCCCCCATTTTTAGATATTTAAAAAAAAAAATTCATATCTAAAATTTCTATTTTTTAGGGTGTGTTACGGCAGGTTCCATTGGTAGGATCGTTTGTTAATTGGTGGTCGCCTCTCCCTAAGGAACCTTCAATGAGGGGGCGCTCTCTTAACCTACAATCAGGTAAGTATTTATGAAATAATATATAATTTATCATAAATTATTTTCCTCAGTGCATGAGGTTGAGGACAAATAAACAATTATTATTGTCATTATTATGTATTTTTAAAAATAATGAAAGCATCCTGACCTTCCTATCATATGAGTGGCTGTAAGAAATGTTTACATTTTACTGCATAATATCGGACAACAAAGCATGATGATCCAAATACATATTAGTAATTCATGCTTTTATTTCCCTCCAGGCACGTTAGCTAGTACAGAGTCTACGTACAAGTACCACATGCAGGTCCAAGAAGGCTCTCCATTGCCCTCTCCATCGCCTTCTCCATCAACAAAATCTGAAACAAGTGGCTTAGCCTCTCCTTCACTAACTCCAAATGTCACCCCACAAAAACCTGTGCAGAAGAAGGATTTGGAAGAGGTAGCTGAGCCTTCTAAGGTAGAGGATGTAGGGGATGATGCAACTGTAGAAGGGAGCCCTCTATCACCTGACCAAGACCCACTATCATTAAACCAAGATCAGAAATCTGGTACAAGTGACAGCACCACTGCAAGGTGATATTTCAAATCTTTTAATTTGTTACTTACATAACATTTGCTTATGTTTTAAAGCAAGTAATTTATTTTTTTATATTTTGTTTAACACGTTGCCTACCAAGCCTTTTTTTTCTAGTTCCATCCAATACGCAAAGGCATAAAAGGCGCCACCATAATGAAAATCATTTCCATCAACTGTAGTGAAACAGGAACAAACATATAGTAGTTATTTTTAGATCATTTCTTCCGGGTCCTAAGTGTTCAAGCAAACACTGCTAGCGAGTTTTCGTGCAATACAATTGTTGTGGACGTGAACTTGTGTCCTCTGTGCCCGGAGTGAACCCTGTCCGATGTGAACTCGCGTCCCTTTTTGTTTTTTTTGTTTTTGTTTTTGTGATTTTTTTTCATTGCTTACCGCAGTGTAAGTATTATTATTATTATTATTATTATTATTATTATTATTAATGGTATTATTATTATTGTTATTATTATTATTATTATGTTACTAAAACCTACCTTAAGAGGTATTTATACAATGGAGAAATTAGAGAACAATTAAAAAAACGATGTTAAGGGGAAAATAACACAGAAGCTATTACCTTAAGTCCTATTTAGTGAAATTACTATTATTATCTGTCTTATGGATTTCATTTTTTTAGTTTTTGATTTCTGTATTTCACTCGTAACAACTCTTAATAAATTTACATTTAAGTAAATATATTTACATAAAAAGGACAGAAGACCAATGAATATATGGCACGATTATGTTTATGAAGCTCCCTTATGATGTGCCACAAAGTAAACCTGATTAAATAAATATGTCAGGTATCGTGACAAAATCAAAATGTGTTGTGTTATTTTGCCCATTTCAATACTCATCGTTAAAATTTTGTTCCACAGTGCATTTTTTCCCCATCCGAATCTTCCATTGCACGTTGCCTATGGATACGAAATGACCTCAACCTAATACAATCTTATGATTGATTGAAAAGACGCGGGAGTTTTTCCGGAGGGTTAAATCCATGAAATGATGTCATGCCACCTATAACATTTCTCAGGCCTACTTTTTTGTACTTCTTGCTGAACTTGTTTACTTAGCAGTGTGCAATGTATCAGAGGTTTTGTTTACTATAAACAGCTGTAATGTATTTAATTGCTTGGATGTTACCTCAAAAACTAGCTCAAACTTGCGCAAAATCTGTGCGGAATTTGGCTGTTATTTTCCAAAATGTGCTGGCCCTAGCCTTAGGACTAGGTTTTTTGCGGAGCAGGCCTAGGCCAGGCTAGCTAGGTCCAGGCCAAACCGATCTATTTAAGTGTATAACACAAGTAATGAATGTTTTGTATTCGTACAATGGAAAGATTATTTTCATTCGTTGAAAGATTGACTGTTCCATTGCACTTGTAAACATTCATTATTTGTATACTAATTTTTTCTATGACAATTAACTGCTCCTACACCCTAAACTTTAATTTCACAATGTTTAATAGTTATGTGGATACAAATGGAATGATTCCACGATAACAAACATCACATCACATAGAGCATATCACATTATTCCATCCTCTGAATACTGGCTGTTCTTGCATGTAGAAAGGAATCATACAGAAATCTAAATTATTAGTGAAACGTTCACTAACCTCATCCTATTAGTAGACAGATGGGTTGGTAATAATGAAGGTGTATAATGACTTAAACATGTAAATGAAATTAAAACATTTTTTTAACAATCTTGCAACCCATATTTGATAAGGGACCAAAAAAAAAAGGTAAAATAACAAATTTAAATTGCTAAAAAAATTCCATAGAATGAACTAGTCATTATTTATCTTTCATATATGATTTGGATTTCAAATAGACTCTATGATTTCTCCTTTTCTGATGCCTTGATATAATCATTGAATGCAAAAACTACTTAATTAGATTCCCATGGTGTCTGTCCAACTTTCTCCATTCCTATTTTTAGTTTACAATTCCACCATCTTGAGAAACCTTCTCGATTGCAGCCCGATGAGTTAACTTGTAGAGAAGCACCAATATCAATTCTAGATCACATGGTCCAAGTTGATGAGGTGAATGGTGATTAGATTGGATCCAGTAGAAGGCTAGTAAAGCAGTTTCTCTGATGTGATGTGATTACTCTTGTCCTTCCGTTTTTAATTTTTCACATCCTTTAGTTGAATAAGGAGTTTGGCAGAGTGTTCCTGCATGTTTCAGAGCTCTTTTCATCAAATTATTTAGGAATGTTCCATGTAGTTCAACAGACTGTGTATTGACAGAACTTTCTGCAAATTAATATTGATAGCATGTTCAAAGTATTGTTTTATAAATTCTATTATAAATAAAATATTTATAAACATTAGGAAATGTTTATTTGCACTAATTATTATTTGTATTTATGAAGTAAGTTATTGTAATATTTTTATTTGAATATTTATAAACTGTAAGAAAGGATTATTTGCATTATTAATGTTATTATTAGTATTAATAAAGTTATAAATTTTGTAATTTTTGGTATTACAGTATAAACATTATTTTTGGTGTTTAATATTACAGTATCATCATTATTGGTTTTAGTCATTATTGTTATTATTCTTATTATTATTATTGTATTTTTATAGTATTATTATAGTTATTGTTGGTATTATATTCATTGTTGGTATTTCTTATATATTATATTATTACTGTATATATTATACAGTAAATATATTGCTGTATCGTATATATTATTATGTATATTATTATTGCTATTGTTATGGGGCATGATTCAGTACAATTGTTGTTGTCACTCTGCTGTAAATGAGCCTTCTATGCTTCCTATTGCTGTGTATTATTGTCGGGCCTGCTGGATAGCATATTTTGTATTAATATTTTTTAACTGATGATATGCAACTAAATCATGTCTGCAAGCTGATGGTAGATCTATCTGCCAGACAATTATTTCTCTTTCTGACAGTGGATGTTGTTTATTTTATGTTTATTTCAAATTTGTATCCAACATTTCTTTCCCCATGATTCAGTGTCCATATATGGCTTGGACCTTCATATATCAATGTCCATATGAATAATCAATCTTACTTTATGAATATGCATTGAATTAGTCTATATTTTCAGTGCTCAGATAGGGTCCATCTTACATTGTTAATATCCATATATGAACTAATCCATCTTAAGTTGTCGATGTCTATATATGAATTGGTCCAATTTACTTATCAATATACTATAAATTTGAATCTGTCCATCTTTTTCAGTGGTTATAAATTTGTATGTCTTCCTTTATTAGTTTCTATGTACTTCAGTCCATCTTTATTTACCACTGTCCATATATGAACTAAGTCATCCTTTTATCAGTGTCCATTGAATCAGATCGTATTACTTTATTGTTCATATATGTATCAGATCATATTACTTCATCAGTACCCATGAATTGGTTCATCTCATTGTATCCATGTCAAGATGAATCAGATCGTATTACTTTATTGTTCATATATGAATCAGATAATATAACTGCATCAGTACCATATATAAATTGGTTCATATTACTCTATCAGTGTAAATATAAATCAGGTCATATTACTTCATCGGTACCCATATATGATTTGGTTCATATTACTGTATCCTTACTATATCATTTTCTGTATGAATCAGATCATATTACTTCATCGGTACCCATATATGTTTAATACCATTGTTCATACCTTACAATATTTTACTTTATCATTATTATATATAATCAGCAGAATGTGGGTAATATATGTTGGTTTAAAAAATATGTTTTTAATGTTCGCTATTTATATTTACTGTTTTTTTTTTTCTTTTTTACAGCAGCTTTCAAGAACTTGATACCAAGGAATTGGAAACTGATGATGCAGCTGACCTAAAGTAACCTATGACCTGTCTACCAATGTTAAACGATCTCAATTTTTATATTATTTTAAGATTTGGTTTAAATCCTAAAATTTATTGTGGTTTTATTTAAATACTATGTGAACTTCCTAGTAAAATGGATGGATTTGCCAGAGTTAAGTTTTTTAACTCCTCATTTTAGTATGTTTTGTTTTTTATATACACAGTATGTAAATTTATTGGATTTATTTAATAGTTTTGACTATACTGAATTATATTTAAGATAATTTCTATATTTTAATAAAGTTGATTGATAAATAACTATAGATTTTCAGCTGTTTAGATAATGTATACATAACTTGAAAGGTCAAGTGATGATGTCATTAATGAAATCAAATGATGTCATGTCATCAATGATGTCATCATGTAATAGTATTATCAAGTGATTTGTTTTATATTTTAAAACATATTTAATTAAAGTGAGACTCATAATAAGTATGTACAGTGATGCTGACTCTTTGGTAATTGGGATTTTAATTTAGCCAATGGATATTGGATTTATTTCAGTTTAGTAGATGTTAAAAGAATATTTGTAGATGATGTTTTATATTTTATACCTTTTATACCCCCCCCCACATAATGGAACACATACTCAGCTCCTTGGGGAGAATTCCATGATGTTGCAGCTGTAATCAACGCATTATGTGTTTGAACCTACCAGGTACCCACTTGTACCGAAACTTGAAACTATTATAAATAACACAGTGTGATGATCTGTGTGTTAAGAGCGCTTAGTCATCATTATCATAAACGCTGAACATCTCGCGACATAGGGCACTAAAAGGACTTCTCGAATGGGAGCGATCATTAGCTAGTATGTGCATAGACCTTATTTTTCTCTTAGTGTCCCTCTCAATTGTGTTGTGTGATGCCACACTCACCACAAAAATAACATTGAATATATATGTCAAATACCTAACAAAAGTGCCTAATAAATCTTCAAATTATTATTATTATATTATTATTATTATTATTATTATTATCATCTTATTATTACTATAATTATTAATGAGTATAAATTAAAAAGAGGTGTTTCATTTAACCTTTTCTATTGTACATATTGTGCAGAAAAATATGTATTGTTAAACTTACGGGAATGGTATAAAAGATGTAAGTAAAATGGTAAAAGTTAGTTGGGTTTGAAAAAAATGCATTGTTCTCATTATTGGGAACAGTATGTTTTTTTTGTCAAACCAGTATATAACATTTACATATTTCTAATAGACAGAATTTAATATTATTGATTATGCTGTAAATAAATAATTTATGGGGTAAAAGATATTTTACAATTTTTTGGATGGGTGATCTAGATGTAGACTTTTACTTTATCATGTTGGAATTTGTTTAGAATTTAGAAGTTGCAATTGTAAGAAAATGGAAATTATGTGAATAAATTACAAATATACACTACACAAGGCCATTATCAGTTGACATTTGGAGAATAACTGTAGCAAATATTCTCCGATATTCTGAACAGTGATTGTGCATATTGTGGGCAATTTTCGGGAATCCTCGTTTAATACCCACATGTTTTATAATGAATGAAAACATGTTAACCATCTTTCTAAGTCAGTTGACCTTTTCAGAGTGTCAACCAAAGGTCAAACCTAATAACTGACCAATCAGAACAGAGCCAGGAATATGCCCCAGGCCCGGGATTTATTAATCTCAGCTTAGCAAATGTCTAAAGTCAAAAAATTAATATGTCCTTAAGCAAATATCTTTAAGCTGATTTATCAAACTCATCTTAGCAAAATCTTAGAAATCGTCTTAGATGGCGCATGCGTACAATCGAGGCATTGCTTAATTTTAAGTAATATTTAAGTTAAGCAATATTGAATATTGATAAATTTGTCTTGCAGAAAAAAAAATGGACTTAAGACGAATTTAAGCTGATCTCTAGTTTGATAAATCCGGCACCAGGAATTTACACTTGTTCCACAAACACACTGTTGTTCCACACATGTTTATAGCATGTAGAAAATATATTATTTTAATACATTTTCTCCATGTTTATAATGTAATTTGTTGGACCTTAGCAACAATATCTAATTGATGAGGTTTATTAGCAGAACTGTCCATTATGAAAGATGAGAGACGTTATATTACACAGTATAAAAGATCTTATAAACACAAGATAGCGTTCTCCGCGATTTACGCGTGCAAATTCTGTAATATGGCATGAATGGCGCCCTCTTGCTAAATTGGAAACTTTTGACCCTTGACCGCTCTGACCATACCGTCACCGCGCGACTTTACCTTGGGTATCAATCCTGTGAACAGAGAACAGGAAGCGATTTTTTCCCGTACGAAACATTTGCATGAAACTTCACTCGGGCCATCTCGGATTGACTCGAGTGAGTCCGATACGAGGAACAAGAGCAGACACTTCGCAATGTCGTGACGCTCGAGTTTTACTATTATTGCTCTTTCTATGTTTACCTACGGTAGGCC